AGTCAACTTCTGCCCACCCAGGACACCCTGTAACCTCCTCCCAATCTCTTCCCAGCCTCCCCAGGACCCACCAAAGCCCCTCTCTTTCCACTCAGGATCCCATAACTCCCTCCTAGTTACCTCCCCACTGCTCCAGGATACCCAAACCCTCTCCCATTCCTTTCCAGGACCTGTCAGAACTCACCAAGTCTTTCCCAGTCTCTTCCCATCACCACCAACCTCTTTCCAACCCTTGCTTTCCAATCCCTGGTCTTGTTCCAGCCCCTCCAGGCTCACTCAAATACCTCCCAGTTCCCCCCAGCTGATCCCAGTGTGTCCCCACTCTCTCCTCATGTCCCCTAGTTTGTCCATCTCACTGTGGCCTTCGAGCGCCCAGCCCCAGCCCCAGCCGCCTGCTCTGCTCCGTGATGGATTTCTACACTGCCAAGATCCAGGTGAGGTTTTTTCCAGGGCCAGCAGGAGCTCTTGGGGCATGTGGTGGCCACCGATGTGGTGGCCACCAGGACCAGATCCCCATTAGGAAAGGGCTGGTGTGGCACTGGGAGTCTGGGAATGAAATTGGAGAGAGTCGGAGAACACTGGGAGAGAGTAGATTGGATTGAGGCAATGAAAGAGGGTGGATATTTGGAATTGGACTGAAAAGGACTTGGAAAGCACTGGGAGGGACTGGGGGATCATTGGGGGAGAAGGGAGAGGTTTGGAAGGGCACTGGGAGAAAGGGTGGAGGTCTGGGAATGGAGTTAGAAGGACTAGGAGTGGACTGGGAATGGAATGGCTGTGGACTGAGAGGAATTTGGAGGGACTCTGGTGACACTGGGAAGGACTGAGAGGGTACTGAGAGAGACTGGGATGGACTGGGAGATCAACCGGAGTCACTTGGGATGAGGGGCAGGAGCCCCCGGGGATGGGCACAAGAAGGGCTGACGTGTCTCGGGTCATTCCCAGGGAGGTTTAGAGGGGCTCCAGGGTCATTCCCAGGGCAGGGCCCGAGGGGACACGCTCTGCCCCACGCTCACCTCTGCGCTCCACGAGGAACGGGCTGGACAACTCGTAGTTGTGCCGGCAGTGCCTGTCCACCGCAGCCCGTCTGTACTCCATCCATTGCGGGTCGCTGTTCCAGTGCCTGGCA